GTGCCACAGCAGCTCCCTTGGCACTTCAGGAAAGCTCAGGGCAGGGCTGGGAGCAGATGGAGCAGAAGGAATGGTCAGACATTCCCAGTCCTGTGCTCCCTTTCCTGTTGTCCTCAGAGCTGTGAGCAGTGTGAGTCCCAGAGCAGGCAGGGAATGCCAGTTCCTTGCAGGGCAGTGCCAGGGGTGTGCAGGGCAGAGCAGGGCTGGCATTGCTGCTGGGTTCTCCCCTCCCTGTGCAGGGCTGGCACAGCTGGCACTGCTGCCAGGTGCTCCCCTCCCTGCCCAAGCTGATAACATCTGCAGTACAAAGCAGGACTGCACACACCCATGGACACCCTCGCTGCCTTCCCTACCTGTTGCTGCAGACAAACCCAGTTCTGCCCTGCACAGATGGCTGCTTTTATCTTAGTATTTGCTTTGTCTGAAGGGGATCAGTTTTCTTAATTTGTCTAATTCATAATCCCATCTCAGTGGGATCTCTGTGCCCTGGCTGCTGGAAGAATTGCTTTTGTTGATGATGGGTAAGTCCTCCCCTCCTCCCTGCTCTGCCAAATTGAATATTGGCCTAACTGGTAAGTCCTTTGTAAGAGGGCTTAGCAGGATTATTTTCATACTGGATAGGGTCAATTTTAATAAAAACCAGGGAATGAATAAACCACTCTGATTCTAAACCACTGCTTGTTCTTTTGAAATGTCCAACCTGCACAACTGCATGAGAGTCACTTAAAATACCCTTTTTTTTTTCTCTCTTCCATTGCAACTGACAACTTTCCCTGAGGAAAAATTCATTGTCTTAGCAGCCTGTTGCATAATTGCAGCTGATTGCTGCTTGCTAATGCTCTGTGTTGGTTGGAGCAGCACTTGACAGAACAAAGCCCCCTCCCCTGTTAGCATCTGTTAATACTGGATTTGGGGTTTCCCTGATATCTGGAAATAGCTCTGGAATCTCTGTGTGAGCTGAGCTTCTCCCCTCTGTTTGTTTCTGCTGATGGTGCAGAAGTTCCAGTTGGAAACTTGGTGCTTCTGGGGGAGAAAGGTTAAACTGGAGGGGACAGGGCTGGGGTTTGTGCAGGACACAGTGAGAATGAAAATGTTTTGTGAGCCTTGGGTGTGATTCACTGCAAAATTCAGAAGGTGTTGGGGTGCAGTTGTGCAGGTAAAGGTTTTGTTTTCCTTAGGAAAGGGGTAGAGGAGGGCAGGGCTGGATTAGCTGCAGATCCCTCTCCAGCAGGAAATGCCGGTGCAGCCCCGGCTGTGCTGGAGAATCCCAGAGTGCTGTGG